AAACGATTAGCAACTGAAAACCAAAAATTAGCAACATCTTTAACAAATTCGAATAATCAACTTAAATCTTTTCATATAAAGATCATAAAGGCAAAGAAAGCGAAGCAAGACTATATTTCTAAAATTCGGTCTGTCACTCAGAAATCAAAAAAAATTACTAAAGATCAATTTAAAAAAGCAGTAAACAAAATAATAATAAAAAATAATAATGAATACTCAGCTGAATTCGTTAAACTTGCTACTAGTATAAGCAATATTGGGACGATTTCTCTTTCAGCAGCAACAGAATGTACTAAAGAAATAATAACTTTTCTTATTGGTAAACTACCAAACCATTGGATATCAACAGGAACTCTTTCTCAGTGGAATAAAGAAGTTGCCAAAATATCACTTCGTCAAAATCGACCAGGAGACCCACATTTACCTTCTTATTCATATGGTGTAATGGCCGATGAGAGTACAAAAGGAGATAAAAAGGTGTTTCTAGTTTGTTTTTCCTATTGGAATACATCTAAAAATTAACCAATAATTACTCTTGCAAAAATGAAAGACTTGGATAAATATAATGGAGCCACAGTAGCCAAGACAGTAAAAGAAACAGGTGAAGAAAATAATTTAGATCCAAAACAGTGTCAGTTTTGGCTTACCAATAATACAGCATATATGTCAGGAAATAAGTCAGGCACCATTGTAGAGTTTAATTCGCAAACAAATACATCTTCATTTAGAATTCCGTGCAGTCTACATGCGCTACAAATAGCTTTAGTTGCTTTTGAAAATGCAGCATTCGGAAAATTGAATACTGTGTCGGGACTATCTTTACATGAACATTCTCATAATCTTCTCCAACTTGTCTACTATCTTCATGACGGTTATGGTGAGAGTAATAAAGAATGTCCACTAAATATGAAATATAATACAATTCGTAAATTATATTGGACACTTCTACAATATAACTTAAAAAAATATCAAAAACCTATCTCTCGCCTTAGTTGTGTCCTTATTAGTGTTCTATCGATTGATTGATTTTTGGTTATGTAAAAATTATTTTAAATTATTCATTATCATAGGCCATGTTGTTACTGTCATACCAAATTTGATCATATTTGTACATATTTTTTTTCCTTTTTATTCTGTTTTAAAACCAATAATGCTGTAAATAACAGATAAGATCACACAAAGTTAATTTTCGTTTTGCATAACTTGCTGACCCAATTTTTCAAAAAATTCCAAAATTTCTAATTCCATGTTATGCAAAACAAAAATTAAGTTTGTGTGGCTAGTGATGTGCCACATACAGTACTATACGTACAGTACGGTACGTACTGTACGTTGTGAAAGTTTGACTGGCAACTTTAAAGATAAAACTAAACAATAAATAAGCTATAATACTAAAACTATCTAAACTAATACTCTAATACTCCAAAAGTATCGTCAAGACTCCAAGGACCTTATAGTGGAAGGCTTCGAATAGAGGCGTGGAGGACTTGGTCCGAGTTACAAGGTCTCTTAGGTCTTGTATGGTGTTGCCGGAGGTTTAGGAAAGTTTCTTTAACTTGTACTTCTTGTAATATCTTATTATTATCAGAAGATTCAATACTAATGTTCTATATTCTTCTTTCTTTAACGTACTGCTTATCTTAGAGTCACGCGTATGTCACTTCGATAACTGCGGTATTCGGTGATTCAATGTTCGACTTTAGACTGGGGTGTTACACGCCAAATGATTTACAAACATGGTTCACATATAATAAAATCAAATTGTTAGGATTTTATTATAGAAAATTTACAATCTCAGATAGATCTTTGGGACATTATACTGATTTTAATTTTTTTTTTTTTCAATACGCATTTATCGCTTATCGCATTTATCGCATTTATCGTTATTCTTTTAACAATTTATTTTTTTTTGAAAACTCTTTCAAAATATCTTTAGCGGCTACCTCACCAAGCTTTTCCTCGGTCTTTTTAGTCATGTTACTCCGTCGCTCTTTTCGAACAGCCATTAAATCTTCGCGAACCAACTTTACTTCCGGTTTGCTTTGACTAGAAAGAAGTAATCTTGCTTCTTGTAATTCGTCGGACATATTAGGGTGAGTTTTGATGTTGTATTTATTGAACATTCCTTCTAGTTGCTGTTGATGAACTATAATTGACCAAATTCTATATTTAACAAAGTCATATACCAAAGGAAATTTAGAAAGATCTTGTGAACTGGATATTGAGAAGATAAGGAATTGTTCTAAAAATTGTGGATCTCTTAGTGCATTAAATAAACCGAACGATTGAATATTTCCTTCTAACTTGTCTTTCTTTAGCAATTTAGTGTATTGAAGTTCTTTTTCTGTCGGTTCAACATTTAATGGTCGGTCCAAAAAAACATAGCAAACACTTCGTGCAAAATCAGGACCGTTACTTCCACCCAATAAACATATCGTTAAGGGTAAGTGAATCCAGTAGGGTTCCTAGGTTCAGTTCAGTTCAAATTTAGGTTCAATGAACCTGAACTGAACCTGAACCTGAACCACAAA